ACTACAAATACCTACCGGAGAACAAGGACGTTTCCTTTGAAACCTTCAAGGAGAATCTTGAAAAGAAGGCTATGACTGCCGAAGTAGCATGGTCAAAGTACTACAACAAGCTCCCAGCCTTCGAGAAAGTGCAGTTCGAACAGTTCAAGGCTAGACTGAAGAGCCATAGACAACAAGTCAAAAAGTACATGATGCGATCGAAGAAAGAAGAACAGATGTGGCGAAGGGACTTGCTTCGGTATCCACCGAAAACCACGAACTCTGAAGGTGCACCACTATGGAATCCCCATAAAGCTAACAAGCTATTGCGACAGGATGTTGGAGAATTGAGACAAAAGAAAGAGCACATGACGCCAAAGAAACTTCAAGCGACAAGAGACGAGTACAAAGAGTTTCCTCTGAAGATATTTCGTCAACACATGTACCAGGAAATTCGTCGTTGCAAATTCTGCAACCATTTGCACGATAGAAGAGAAGCCAAGAAAATTATCCACATCTGCAAACCAGCTGTGGGTGCGACAGACGATACATTGACGGACCGTTTGAAGGAGCTGGGCATACATGATCCGGAAGAAGAGGAAGAGGAGGAGGAAGAACTGGAAATGGAGGACGATGAGAAGCATACAGCAGAACAAACAGGCAACCGAAAACGCAAAATTGCCGAAAACAATCGTCCAAGCAAAAAGCAAAAGCGTTGTTAAACCTAATTCATAGCAAATGCCGTTCTTCTTAGTACCTATTCTCAATCTATTAAAGAGCAATATTTCGTTTAAAACTGCAACATGATGGACCTATATTGCAAGTCATCTTGTAACTCTTAAAATGAACGCTGTCGATAGTCAAGATAGCGTCTCTTCCTGGACCTTCGTGCTTTTCTTTCAAGTGCGCAAGCACAGTTGCCCAATGCCACAAATTGGCGTTTTGGACCCTTCCTTCGATTCTCCCAGCCCTTAAGGGGACAATTGCAACGAGCAATCGCTTAAGCCCCCCCTCGTTCTTGTCTGATGAGGGGAGCCACAATATGCCTTCGTTCGTGGAATTTGTGATGTCTTGCCAAAGACAGCAGAGAGAGTTCGGTGTTGCGCCAAAATGAGCCTTGAAAACACCGATGTTGTGCTCCGTGTAGTCATCAGTGGTAATCGGAGGTAGATTGCCAATTGTCTCGAATCCGTAGATCAGCACCTGTTCCGGTGTCACTTCTTTTCCAACCATCCCAATGATTTATAGCACTTTCATTGTCCACCGATCACTTGCTTCCGAGCGAGGCTCACATTTTCAATTTTGAAAAAAAACGGTTCAGTTAGCACGATCGAGGCCGTTAAAATTGTCCCCCATTACCGTTTCAATTGTACTCAATTACCGTTAGAAATGTCGTCAATTGTACTCAATTACCGTTAGAAATGTCGTCAATTGTACTCAATTACCGTTAGAAATGTCGTCAATTGTACTCAATTACCGTTAGAATTGTCGTAGATTTCTTGTTGGGAATTTACGACAATTTCGGCATTTTACGACAATTCATGATTTTCCGCTTCGGCGAATGCACGACGAGCGAACTAGAGCGAACAGTGGCGGAAGAATTAACGCAATTTCTGCTTGTTAAATACTCGACTGGTCGCTTTTAATTTGCCCTAAGTCAATTTCATCATGAGAGACTAATGCAGAAAAGGGTGAAAATGACCACACGGACTAAAAAGAAATAATAGAAACCCGGATCTAGGACAAACTGCGGGGTATCCCTGGGCTTACGGGTGTCCAAGTTTGCAGCCAAGATCAGGTCGGCCTTGCGAGCGAAGGCTTTAGGAACGAAGACATGCCAGCACAGGAGTCCTCGAGAAGACCCAGTAAATTTGGCAGAGAAAAACCGTGGATTGTTGACCCAGTCTTGCATGAGGCCAATGGGGTACTGGAAGTCGCAGAGACGCATCAAGTCTTTGCAGTACGGACCAATGGCCAATTCTTGTGGTAGCAATGGGAGGAAGCCAAGACGTACCATGTCGGAAACCTGGATAGGAGTCGGGAAGACGCCCACCCGAGGCTCACTGGACAAGACGGAGCGAAGTTCTTGCATGAGGATGGGAGGGGCAGTGTCCATCCCAAACCACATTCGAGTTTTGTAGGTCTTCGACCCAGTCTTCCCAGGTTTGTTGAGGATGTAAGGATTGCCGAAGTTGGGATCAAGGTAGATCTTCAGGTGGGCCCAGTCCTTGGCCTTTTCGTCAAACTCCTTCAAGTTCCGGATCCACAGTTGTTGTTGGGTGAATCACCGTCAGCAAAGGGTAGGAGGACGACCGTGGAAGTGATCTCGCCCCAAATACCGGAAGCAAACTGATGGAAGGCATTGTAGGCGGTCTGGACTTGATTGAACTCGGACGCACCGACGCCCTGCCAATCAAAGACAATAGACACGTTGAAGATGGTAATGTGCCAAAAGGGAGAGGCAGTTCAATGGACAGCAAGAAGGCGAGCCAATCGTTCATCAGTGGTGAGAGGAACCGTGGGAGCGGGGGGAGAGGCAACAGTGTCCCTGTAGGTCAGGGCACCATTGTGGTCCTCTATGCCATTTTCCTCACTGGTACTCCCACACGGAGTGGTGGCTTCCACGACGTCTTCAGCTGGAACACTGGCTTCCTGTGTTCCTGTGGGGGTGCCGGCGATGACGTGAACGGCGTGGGACATGATCACTTGTTGGCGCAGAGGGGTGGCATCCGAAGGTGGAGTTCGTTGGTAGGGTTTGGACCGACCCTTTGGTGGCATCAGTTCGGTTTGCATTGGGACAGAGGGAGACGGGCGCGAATTGTGGGCTTTGGCACCTTTTGGGTTCACTGGCGTAGATGCCAGGCGTTTCTTTGACTTGGACTGAGCTTTGGCTATTTTTGACTCTCGTTCTAGTTGCTCGAATTCCTCAACAATGGGAGGAATGATAGCAGGGCCTGTCCAAGGATGAGCGAAGAATTCTGATGCCGCTAGCCACATCCAAGTCAACGGCTTGGCGCGTTGAACAATTAATGTTGGGTCGAATACGAGCGCGACTTTTTGTCAGTTTTGATAACACGTTGGGCCGTTGCCAGATCAAACACAACCGTGGGGCACTGTGTCGCGAGACAAAGGAAGTACTCGCAAAGAGCCCAGGAACCGTCGTCATCATCGGCATCTTCGAGGTCTCCAAGGGAAAACAGATTCTGCATGCTGGACCAAAGCTGAGGCATCGAACCGCCAAGCGATGGGTCGTACGCCTTCAAGCCAGACAGGATTAACGCAGCGATTTTGTCGTAAGAATGAGCATTGGCTTGGTCTGTACTGGCTTCCGCCCGCCATCCGGGGCATTTGGATATTGCCCAACCAGAGTGATCCGCGGTGCAAGAGGACCAGGTGAGGGATGCTTGATTCCCAAAAACCTCCTGCCTCCAAGCCTTCTTGTAGAGGCTGTGAAACTTTGCCACCTTGAGTTTCTTGGTGTAGGCAACGAGTGGCCGTCCTTGCACTGCGCCATCCTTGGTGGTTTGGGAAGGAGGGGGTTGCTTGCGTTGGCTCTTGGTGCTCGTGTGATTGGGATTATCCTTGGTGAGATTGATCGACAAAGGAGTGGTTGAGTCTGATTGAGCTTTGGCTGTGGGGCCATCCTGACCTTGGGCCACTTCAGAAGGGAAGAGCGAGCGACCTTTCATTATGCCATCCTCGGCGGTTGGTGAAGGGGTTCGCTTGCAGCTGCGCTTGGGAGTTGTGATGGCAGGGTTATCCTGTTGGGAATTCACGTGCGCGTGTAAGAACTAATGAAGTACTGTTGGGACTAACAAAGTACTTGTGGAAAATCCAGGTTTATATGGATTAAAAGTGGTCTTCAGGCGTGACAAATAGATAGGATATACCGGTAGCTGGGTCAGAACCAGCTTGTCACATTTTTGAGGACCAGACTGGCTGTTTTAGCCAACATGGTGTGAGATACTGAGTTTCAGTACCTAGCTGCAGTAGATAGACTGCAAAAGATAGGAGGTCTCGAGATAAGAGACAAGGCTGAGGTCAAGGGTTCAAATCCCTGGAGACTAGGGGCTCAAAGGAGAGAGTAAACGAACAATTGAATATGGGCCGACAACAGACGTGACAGAATTCTAATAGGAACGGGACTCGTGACTCGACCTATAGGATTACCAGGTTGAAGTGTAGCCTGTGCCTTGCACGCGTTGCCTGTGCGTGAACCGCTACACACCATTGATTTAACGTAGAGAATGCTGAGTCATCAGCGTTCTGCGATAATTCTAGAGATTTGCATGGAAAAGTGATGAACGATCGCTTTTCTCACTGCACGTTGTTTTACCTGAATTGATCTTTATCTTCTTGTGAAATAGCAGTCGCACTATAGGCTTTAAGTCTATTCATCTATTCTTCATTTATTTCTGTCAGATTAACAGTCGCAGTTACGCCTACAGCTAACTGCATCGATCTCCCCATCAGAGATCGCTCAATTCGTCTCCCATCAGAAGACGAAAACACAACAAACTTGCGGATCGGATCCACAGCGCTCTCGCAAGCTACTGAGCCCTCATCGAGCTCACATCCTCGCAGCCGTGCACATATCCGACTGCAGCGATTGTCCTTCAGAAATTTTACCTGGCTCGTCTTCCATCAGAGACGAAGACAATCAACATTTTGGAATTCGTCTTCCCAACAAAGACAAACAACACAACAACTCGCGGATCGACTTTCAGCGTTTCGCAAGTCCCCTGTTTTGGGCTCCCATCAAGCCCATCCCACCGTTCGATCTGAATTAATTTCTGAGGCATAGTACTCATACGATTTAATTCTAACGAAGAACTCGGTTTCTACAGGCGTCCGAGTTATTTTTCAAGGTTCGGGACAACACAATTTGGAGTGCTCGGCTAGTAGCGGCCCTATCGCGATAGTCGTAAGATATTGGAGTTTTTATTTATTGATCGATCGCTATCAATACAGCGTTGAGTGTCGCCAACTCGTGCTGCCCCCGGTTCACCTCCTTTCGTCGTCAAGGAGTTTTCTTCGGAACCAAGGGATCCGAATCTTTCAACTGGTCGAACAGCTTCTGTGGTGGAAGTCCCGCTTGAAAGGTTCACCTTCCCTCGCGAAGTAAAACGCCGGACCTACACCAGACGCCCCAGGAACGAACTTTTGTTGTGCAAGCAATTGATTCAGGCGCATCTGCTTTTCCTTTTTCTACTTTGGGATTGCATCGGTTCCAGTCCAACGTTAGGACCGTCCTCAGACTCAGGGCGTACACAAATTAGAGTTCGCAGGGTCATCAAACCTTGTCAAGAGGAGGATCTGTATCCTCTCGATCGTCTCATGCGTCCTTAGGTTTGGGATCTAATTCTCCCGCGCAACCATCAACAACCCGCCACCGCCCTCCTGGTCATTGTCCAGAGAGTCTGGAACACATCCTGGTTGAGGTTCTCGATCTCCCTCGGGATGGTATTCTTGCTCAAGCATTGAAGCATGCTAAAATTACTTGCTTCATTGACCTCATGGCTATGACCGATGTGGCGATTGACTCTCTTGTTTATCCAAGAAGTCAAACACCTGATGATGAAGGCGACTTCCAAGATGATCAACTTGCCCTGGTACCACTGTCCATCCGCAGTCTCATCAAGGTCATCCAAGGATACGTTTACTACCGCAAACATGTCCATAACGACCCTGTCAACCCTGACAACTGCATGGATATTGACTACGGAAGTGTACTCGACTATAGAGCTTCTGGAGAGTTCTTAACTTTTGGTAATAGAACTATTCCACAACCTATTATCCAGAAACCAAGTCGTCGTACCCCTGCTGCTGATGAATTCGATAGAAGCATCAGAAGAGAACCGTCGTCTTTCCCTACTTTCAGCAATGACAAGCAATGGGAAAACTACAATTGTAATCTCGCAGCCATCTGTCGCACTTACGGTCTACAAAATGTCCTTAATCACAAGTACAGCCCACAAACTGTTGATAAAAAGGACCTCTTTGACCGTCAGCAGGCGTTCATGTATCAAGTCTTTACCACGACTCTCCTCACCGATAAAGGCAAGCAATTTGTTCATGAGCATCAAGCAACCTTTGATGCGCAGAAAATTTACAATCAACTTGCTAAAGCCTACACTAAGTCTGTTAAAGCTGATGCCACCGCTACTGGACTTCTACGATGGATTATGACCGCTAGGCTTGATGATTCATGGCGCAACACACATGAATCATTCATCATCCATTGGCAAGAACAAGTACGCAAATACCACACCTTGGCAGACATTAGTCAAAGGATGCCAGAAACCCAGCAACACCTGCTACTCGAACAAGCCCTTATTGCTGTCCCTTATCTCGATGAGATTCAGAGACTCTCTAGGATTCTTGAGATGCAAACGGGTAAGGCAATCATTTTTGATGACTATGTCACACTGGTGGAATCTGCAGCCCAAAGTTACGACACTTGGCAAGTCTCCAAGCCTAAGCCAAATACAAATAATCCTAGTAGAGACGTCTACTTTACTGGTGTTGATTCCGGCTTAGACGATGACAACCTCGATATCAAATTTAACATTGATCCTGATATTGCACCGCTTCCTGATAAAGCAAAGGCTGTTATTCTTGGAGCATCTTCCGAACCTGCATGGCCGTCACCACCACCACTGCCCCCACCTCTGCCACCGCGCCGTTTGGTCAATCTTCATGACATCACGGCTGCTGAACTCCTCGACCACTTCCAGGATGGGAGCATGGGGAGTGCTTCTGGTGCTCTTCCTCCTGAAGTGGTTGATAATGCCAGAGACAACATCTCAGGGTATGTGACTGAACGTCAATCTCTCAGACCTGGAGGAGCAAACGGTGGAATTGCTGGTGATGATGTGACCACCTTGTCTCAAACAAATCGTTCTGTAGAGGTTCGAGCCATAGATGATCATCAACTAACGGATGTGTCCATCAAAACCCTACCACACATTGTCTTAACCTCTGACAAGAATTGGGATCCTGGTGTTCTAGACTCCAGAGTGGATGAATTTGATCCCAAACCTGACGATGGATTGGAAGATCTAGATCCCAAAGTGGACGACATTGACAAATGGACCGACTGTATCACTGGCAATGGATTGGAAGGAGCTAAGAGCCGTTTTGATCAAGTAGATATCCTCAAGAGACATTTTATTTTTGATGAAGCTATTTTTGACGAAGCCATACACTTCTTTGAAACTTTTCAGTATTCATCACCGTTTGATGAACCGTACAAGGATTCCGAATGTACAGATACCGGAACAGATTGCCCAGATACTGGACCGGACTATTTTGAGGACACATTAGCTATTGACATACCTTCCAAACGTCGATGTAACACAAGTTGCAAGGTTTGTTTTGGTCATGGTATTTGGCCCGGCAATGGGGAGCAACCAGACACTGGACCTCCACAAAGAAACAAGCAAGGGCACAAGACTTTGCCACTAGCTGATACTATGGTGTACAAGAACCCAAGCTCAGCAGTGAAGTCTCATGAACGCAACTGGGAGCGACTACGTCAATATTTTGCGTGGTTACCTAAGCATTCTTTTCACTGTACTACTACTGATCTGGCTAGATCTCCCACGAACGCCCACCATGAACACAAATATCGTCCTCTGTCTCCACTTCCAGAGCCAATCAGTTGCATGGTCGTCTTGGTAGGCATCGCCAAGCATGATTGTCACGACATGACCAACATATTTCTGTTTCTTGAAACAAACAACGTCTTGTTACCTTCTGACATCTGCTCTGCTCTACCACCTACCGGACTACACAAACGTCTTGTTCTACCTGATGGGGAGGAGTTAGTGCTCCCTACAATAACCAAATCAATTGATCTATCTGATGGGGAGGAGTTGACACCCCCTCGCAAAATCAAATCTAGAGACCATAAGTCCCTCAAGACCATTGTTCATTCTAGTGATGCTGAATCAGAGATAGAAGACGTTCTTTTAGAAGAAAAGGACCTCATTGGACAGACTTTCCTTCTCTCACCAGATGATGAAGGTTATGTTCAACGTGCTAAGATTGTTGAGCTTAATTATAAGCACAATTGCAACACGGACATTCAGCCTGCACGCATTCAACTATGCTTGAACATTGATAAAGGCAAATATGAACATGTTATGGCTTACCATGAGATCCACAAGTGGTCAGAAACTGACAAGGACAACCCCATAGATACAAAGCTGAAGCAAGTTGTATGCCACCATCACTACATTTGACTTGAACAGCCTTCTTATTACCTGGGTCTGACTTACAGTATGACCATTGGATGGAAACATGGGGAGAATACCCCAGAACCACTGAACATCACTGGAGCCAATGAATCAGTGACCTACGCTATATACTCAAGAAATCATAACCTACCAGAAAATCAAGGTTGTAAACTTCTTCAAAATATAGTGAAGGACAAGAGGAAATTCCTCTGTCCAACCAATCAAGTCAAGCTGAGATTGCTACATGCTACTACACCAAAGTATCTGTACAACTACAACATCCAGGAGGACCACAATGGCGTCCTTCGACTTGACAAACTCCATGGCAACACCAACTGGAAGCATGCCACCAAAGTTGAGATGGATCTGCTTGCAACGTACAAGGTCCTTGTGGATATGGGGAGAGGAACCCCATTGCCAAAAGATCACCAAACGTTCAGAGTCCAACTTGTCAATGCCCTTAAACATTTTGACAAACACAAGCCCAGGCTCCTACCGTTTGGTGACCTTACCTATGTACTGCCAAACAAAACAAAACCTAGCTGTCTATTGACAGACCAATCTGTTGTGGTTATAATCCATCATATGTTGAATGGAACCCCAATCGGTTTCTTCTCTAAGGAGCAGTCAAATGTTGAGACTGCTACTTATGGTTCTGAGTTTGTAGCCACTCAAACCTATGTCAAACAGATCATGGATCTTCAACAGACCTTGAGGTACCTTGGTGTGCCAATCAAAGGTCAAAGCTACATGTTTGGTGACAATGAATGTGTTGTGAACAGTTCTTCCCGACCTGAAGCAAAGCTACACAAGGGGCATGTTGCATTGTCGTTCCACCGTGTGAGAGAAGCAGTAGCATGTAACATGCTATCTTTTATCCACATTGACGGTGTTCTTAACCCTGCTGATATTCTCAGCAAGCATCGGGGCCATCAGCAAATCTGGCCACTATTACGGACTCTAATGTTCTGGTCTGGTGATACTGCTGATCAAGAGGAATAGGTCCTCTCACTTTGCCCCATTTGGGGAGTGACAGAATTCTAATAGGAACGGGACTCGTGACTCGACCTATAGGATTACCAGGTTGAAGTGTAGCCTGTGCCTTGCACGCGTTGCCTGTGCGTGAACCGCTACACACCATTGATTTAACGTAGAGAATGCTGAGTCATCAGCGTTCTGCGATAATTCTAGAGATTTGCATGGAAAAGTGATGAACGATCGCTTTTCTCACTGCACGTTGTTTTACCTGAATTGATCTTTATCTTCTTGTGAAATAGCAGTCGCACTATAGGCTTTAAGTCTATTCATCTATTCTTCATTTATTTCTGTCAAGACGGACAGACAGAATGTCCGATCAAATGATTCACATGCACGATCCATCGCTCAAAGGAGTGTGTTGGGAATTCACGTGCGCGTGTAAGAACTAATGAAGTACTGTTGGAACTAACAAAGTACTTGTGGAAAATCCAGGTTTATATGGATTAAAAGTGGTCTTCAGGCATGACAAATAGATAGGATATACCGGTAGCTGGGTCAGAACCAGCTTGTCACATTTTTGAGGACCAGACTGGCTGTTTTAGCCAACATATCCTTTGTCAGAGCAATTGACAATTGAGTGGTCAAATTTGATCAGGTTTTGTAGTTGAGACGTCCCTGACCTTGGTCAGCTACAGTCATGATCAAATTCGGGTCCTGCTCCGGCGGGTTGATGATGCTATCCTTCATGTTGACTTAAATTTAATTCCTGTTTCAACAACAACAACTGTTTTCCTGTACGTACGAAACGCGTAGGACTGGTACAGTTTTGTTTTGGAGAAGTTTGTGGAAAAATAATTTCTACCTTTGAGTTTTGATTTTTGATTTCTGAATTTTATAAATTTGGCGTCGGACCACCTCATTTACATCAAACACAGAGCCGGAGTGGTCATCCCCCCTCCCGTCATCAGCTTCTTCCCTTGAAGGCAAACATAAGCCCAACGTCCCAGCCCTGTCAAATTGCTGCCACCTTCCTTAGCTCGGTGCAAGACCTGGCTGAGCACTGTCGCAATACATCCTCCCCACTGAAAAGCTGTAGTTGCCAATGATCGTGACTGCTGTTTATTATAGGCGACCGCCAAATAGAAACCTTTTTGTTTTGCCTTCATGGTCGCCTGACGCATTCTATCGTTCCATCCATGACCCTCTGAGATAGAGGGCCAATATGTTTTGGCCTCTGCCAACAACGCGATTCCCACTCGTTCATCTTTCAGCCAGGAGTTGATCTGCCGCTGTTTCTCATGGTCACCATCCTCCAGGACGCCGTTGACGTTCTGGAAGGTAACGCGAGTAGCTAGTGAAGAGCGACAGCGATGATTGTCACCAAGGGAGTCAGTCTCCTGCTGGAAAAGAATGTAAATATTTGTCAAGTGAAGTGTGGGAAACAACACTGGACGGGCCACTAATTCGAGATCTTCTGCCTGCACGGTGTGACCTAGCAGCAGGCGACCTGGGTCCTCTAATGACCCTGCCGCGGAGCAATGTGCTCCGCGCCCGGCCAAAGAAGGCAACTTTGCAGATCCGCTAGTACCAGATTTGCTAGATGGAGAAGGGAGAAAAAATGGGTGTACACCTCCCGGCGATGCCGCAGTCAGAGAGGACACAGCTGTCGTAGTATCACCCTCCATCTGATTTGTGTCCACCTGGACCTGAGACGTGTTCCAAGAGCGCTGCTTTGGCTGCTGAAAGTGAACAGACGTGCTGGTACTACCATCACCCATGAATTGATTGTTGTAATTGATGATGTCAATGTGTCGGTGTAGTTGTCTAACAGGGCATTGTATCAAAGACATGGTTGATTCTGAGAGTCTGGATACCGTTCTGCCCATGAAAATAAAGCATTGCCCGTTTGAATGCAATCCAACCTTGTCAACAATTGAACTGCCACATCTCCTGAATATAATTGTTCTAACCGCCACTCAGAGAGTTTGGGCACCACTATATTGTAATGATCGATATGGCGAGTGTCTTGGCGCGCAGCAATTTGTTGTGCCTCCATTTTGTCACCCATTTGTGGCGCTCCTTGTTTGTTGGCGAGTCTCTTGAG